TAGTTGTATTCGAAGTTGAAGGTTTACGTCATGGTTCGAGGAATGCCTTGAGTGTTTGGAGATTGGAAGAAGATATTGAGCATTGGACCAAACATTATTGGCGCGGACTATATGAAATACTGTTGAGATCATTGGGTAAGTGTGTACTTTTTACCTGTTGTGTGCTTTGTCTACATCCGGAGAAGCCTAAAATTGTCTTCCTTACATTTACGGATCCTCTTGATGGTCGTATCTACTCCTGCAATTTGAGGTCTGGGACTGGAGAGCTAGAGTTGTTTTCTACAACAGTACCATTTCGTTACGAACCGGATTGGATGGCGTTCCAGCCCACAGTCACTTGTTGGCCTATGCCGATTCACAGGCACGACGAATTGCGAGGTATGTATGATGGAAGCAACCGTTGTTGGGTCTAGAACAGTACTGCAACAACACTTCCCTCAACCACTGGTAATTACAGTTTGGAGGAAGCAACGAGATCGACGCGTTATCGAGTATAGACTAGAAAGCAGCGACGATATATTGTTCTTGTTTGACAAGATTGATGAGGCGGCGCAGCTTCTGCAATAGTTCGTACTGGTTTTGATTTCATTATGATTAACTTCGTATATGAAGTATAAGAGAGACTATCTAATTAGAACTTTGTGGGGTTACCAATTTTAGACATTATGTTTTACTATCAATTAGTAAGGAAAGTCCGCGCTCCGCGACGGGGGGTCGTTTGTGATATGTGTCGCATTATATAACAATAGGTCATAAAAGAAAAAGAATATGTAAACTAATGAAACAAACAACCCTTGCTGCATAATAATGTTCTGCCTATCCTTTTTCATTGTTACTTCAACTATAGTTTATGCTAAAGCTTACAACTTTGGAGCTTCATATATCAATAATATAAAATGAATGGGCAAGCTTCTAATACATGCCATGAGACATCATAAAGTTGAAACATTTTGTCATGTACAAATCTCAGTACAGTTCTATATGCATAAATACCCTTATTATTATCGTAGTTATACAGGGAATAGTACATGCCTGAAAAATGTCAAATACTCCACTGCAATGATATCATAAAAAATTTTCATTGCATCCCATAAAACTGGTTTGGCATAAGTGTGCTATCCTTGACGCTCGTATCCTCTTCCTAGCCTGTTCCCAAGCTGTAAAATGCAGCATTTCAAAGAACCGATCAACAAATAAAACCACAAAACATTAAGGAAACAAAAACAGGTGAATTGAGATTCTAGGAAAAGGAACAGACTATAAGGACTACATTAAGAGCTTCAACTTGAAGAGCTATGAGATGCAGATTACATTAAAATTTGCAGAGGCATGCCATTACTTCTTGTGTTGTCCATTATGCAGCAGGGTTCACCTACAGCAAATTAGAGGAGGCATGCAACATTGAACTGGACTAAGACCTGGGCATGACAAAACAATCACAGAAAGGATAAGGAACTGCATGAGAGACTGAAAGAGTAAGTACTGGTGTTCACTGTGACCAAGTAGTCCAAGGGCGAGCAACGATTTATTGGTTATTTGTTGTTTATCGGAAGGACATTAGGTTTACAGTGAATTTGTGATCACTGGTGGTCGGCTCGAACTGGTCTGGAAGTAGGAGAAGTAGGAATGATATGATGTTCTCAATTTGCGACTCCATTGGGAATTTGTGTCCTCGTTTCTGCTTCATGAACTGACCGTCTATATCCGCTCGTCCGCCATCCAGAGAATCGTAGAATAAAACCACTTCTTCTTTGCCTTCTGACTCCTTCTTCCTCGTTTGTGGAGAGAGAAAGTAGATCCACACAAATGGGGAAAGAGGAAGAGTGGAAGACAGAAATGAAGGGATAAGATAGGAGAGGAAAGAGAGAGTTTGTGTTGCTGGAAAGAGTTGAAGAAACAAAGGCAAACAAAAAATTTAAAAAGACCCTCAAAGTTTTATTTAGTAACGAAATGGTCACCTCAGTGGCGTAGCCAGGATTTTATGTAAGGGGGTTCCAATTTTCTAAAAAAAAAATCTATATTATATGAGATTATTTTGCCATGACTAAGAATGTTTTCTACAACAAACTTTTGAAATATATATTCTTCATATAGACTACCAAAGACCTTATTTTCAATATGTCCTACCAACTAATGATTTGTGGTTTGGGTAATCATTCCAAACCATGGACAATTACGTATGTTAAAGTCAATCTAATGATCATGGATAACCGAGTAACGTCGATTGGAATGAGATGGTAGAGGTGAGCGACTTAGCAACCATGTTTGACAAGATAGTTAGATAATAGAACCTCAATAAGTTGACATTGTTGTATTGTGAGAGGATAAAAGTCACTATACGTTGGAGATAACAATTATCGTCTGAAAAATTACATATTAAAAAGGCCGAGTTATTGGCATATGGTTTTTATTTTGATTTTATTTTATTCATCTACTAACTATGATATAATCTATATAACTAATGATAATTTAAATATACATTATTACTTGTAGTTTGATGGTAGAAATACTAATTAAGCACTAAAAATAATGTTTCATGTACAAGTTTCATTACAACCTACTAATTTTAACTCTTTCTCCCACATCCAAGGGTGTGCAGTGGCACCCCCTTCCAACCCACTGCCTCCGCCCCTGGGTCACCTGGTAATCACCCCGACATTGACATCACCGAGTTTAGTTGGGTTCATTTAACTCTAAGAACCAAAAGTCATCAACATCTAATTCAATCCACTTTAATCAGATCGATTGTTCTACAATTTAGCAGCGGGTTGGATGGAAAGCAGATAGACTATTTAACAAAATTGACACCTAAACCAACCCATCAATTACAAAAGCGGCCAAAACTCGCTCTTGATCCAAATTTTATGATCACCAACCAGGTTCAAGTCTTTCTAATCCGGTCGAATTAGCATGAACACTCGTGAATTTGGGTTCAATTATCAGAAACACTTAAATTTTAAATGACACTAACAATAATAATAACAACAATCATAAGAATAAAAAAAGAAAACTCTAACTTCAAAAAATCTTAAATGGCATCAAGACGGTAGCAAAGGCAAGCGAACGAGTCGAGTTTTTAAACAGACCAACCCAATCTGTCAATTACAAAAGCGTTTAAAACTCGCTTTAGACCCAAAATTCGTCAACACTAGGTTGAACACCCATTATTTTATGTGATTTGTTTTCATTTAAAAAATGAATTAGAATATTTAATTTTTTACTAAAAGTTAAATACTTGAATAAGTTTATCAACCCAAAATTTGTCAACACCGGATTCTACTTGCTTTGAACGGGTCGAATCAGATCGAACCCGCATTGGCTTGGGTTCAAGGCCAAAACGACAAAAGATTCGTCAACACTTGATTCAACTTTCCTTGACCGATTAGATAGAGAGGGTCGTATTTTTAACAAAAGCCACACCCAACCCAAATTTTTTTTATCACAGAAGCGGGTAAAATGCATTCTTGACCCAATCCAATGATTACAAAAGAGAATAAAATTCATCCTTGCCCCCAAAAGCGTCAACATCGGGTTCTACTTGCTTTGACCGAGTCGAATTATATCGAATACGCACCCACTTGGGTTCAATCGCAAAGTGACAAAAAATCATAAAAATTGGATTCAACTTTTCTGACTGGTCTGATAAAGCGGGGTGAATTTATAACAGAATTCACACGCGATCCGATCCATTTATTACAAAAGCGGGTAAACTTGTCCTTAACCCAAAAATGGTTAACACTGGATTCAACTTTTTTCTTAACAATATGATAAAGCGAGATGAGTTTCTAAGAAAATTCACACGCGACCCAATCTGTTGATTACAAAAGCGAGTAAAACTCGTCCTCGACCCAAACTTTATTGGATTAAACTTGATAATGCGGGACGGGTTTTTAACAAAATCCACACCCGACCATTTCGTTAGTTGCAAAAGCGGATAAAATTCGCACCCGACCCAAAATTTGGGATTATTCATAAGAGAAAATATCTAATACATTTGATGAATTATAAAAAGTATAACAACAAAACAATTCTAGTTGATGTGGCTTTACCAAATAGTAACTTTTGTGCTTGTTCTTATAAAACGGAAAAATTAGGTAAAATATCTATTGATTTAAGCGTGTAAGCAGAAAGCTTGTCAACGCCGAGTCGAACTCGCTTTAACCGGGTCGACATTATGTCAAATACTAAGCGTGTAAGCAAAAACTCTATCAGTTGATTTACGCGTGTAAGCAAAAACTTTATCCATTGATTAAAGCGTGTAAGCAAAAACCTTGTCAACGTCTAGTCAAGCTCGCTTTAACCAGATCGACATTTGGTCAAATACCCATTGATTTAAGCGTGTGATAAAAAACTCGTCAACGTCGGGTCGAACTTGCTTTAACAGGGTCGACATTAGCTCAAATTTATTTAAGCGGGCAAAACTCATTGGTGAGGCAAAATTCATCAACACCGCGTTCAACTTGCTTTAGCCGATTCGAATTAGGTCGGATACCCATTGATTTTGGTTCAATCTCGGCTCAAGTATCATTAGTTAATTAATTGGAACCTTAATAGAACCTTCAATTTGAACTTAGTTGTCACAAACTAATTAATTAATTAGATCTCTAGTGTAAAAAAACCCTTTAAACTTTGGTCAATTACAAAAGACCACCTCTTGTGATGGGACACTATGCAATAGTAACCTTCTACTTGTTGCCTTCTACGGTACCCAGGGTAAAATCCAGGGTACCGCATATCTTGAATATGAAAACGCTATCTAGACCTCGAATTAACAGGATTTTTGGTCATGATACTATACCCTAACCCTTAATGAGTGAACCCTAGGTCCTAATTATCTAAATCATAAACTATAAACCCTAAGATGGTGCATTGATTTTTTGCCTATATTTGGACGAATCATAACCATCGATTATTGTTACTAATTAAATTAATCTTGGGATATAAGATTTAGAGAATTAAGACCTAGATTTTGATCTTTAAGGGTTATAGTATAATATCATGTCCGAAAGATCAGTTAATTCAAGTTTTGGATAGCGTTTTCTTACTCAAGGTAAGCGGTACCCCAGATTTCACCCTAGGTACCCCATATATATATATATATATATATATATATATGGTGGCGTATTCGGTGCACCCACTTTTTCGGGTGCACTCAGTGCACCCGCCTCATAATTGTCATTCTGACCATGCGATTCATGTCAAAACGGTATCAATTGTTGCTTATGATATTATGAACAAGAAGCACATGAATTTGAAAAAAATTCATTCAAAATTTACTTTAATTTGAAGTATTTAGGATTTAGGGATTTAGGGTTAGGGTTTAGGTTTACAATTTGGGATTTTGGGTTGGGATTCAAAATTGAAGGTTAATGGGTTAGGGTAATGGATTGATTTGTTATGATTCTATATCATATCATCATATTATATTGAGAGTACTAATTAAAGTTCAAAATTTGATGTATTATGGACGCTTTTAGAGTTGGGTGCACTGAGTGCACCCAAAAAAGTGAGTGCACCGAAGTAGCCACCATATATATATATATGGTGACTACTTCGGTGCACTCACAAAAATGAGTGTGTTCAATGCACCCAACTCAAAAACTAGTCTTAAGGTGTCGGATTTTGAATTTTAATTTGTAGAATTAGTGTAATAGATGATATAGCATATGATAAAAACTAATTAATGGATTACCCTAAACTCTAGACCTCCAATTTTGAATTCTATCACTAAACCCCAAATTGTAAACCCTAACCCTAAATCTCTAAACTCTAAATCCTTCAAATTAAAGTAAATCATGAATGGTTTTTGTGCAAATTCATATGCTTTATTGTTTATCACATCATAAGTGATGATTGACATCATTTTGACATAAATCGCATGTTTAAAATGACGGTTATGAAGTGAGTGCACGGAATGCACCCAAAATAGTGATTGCAGTGAAGACGTCACCGTATATATATGGCAAAGACTAGCGTATGTCAGTCCAATATTATGTTCTTTAACTGGAAGAATATTATTGTAAAACAAAAAAGGCATATTATGATCTTTTCTAACACTTGTGTGCTTCTCTAGTATGGATTTAGTCTTCCCAAAATGCCATGCAAAAAAGAGAAGACACACATGTAGATATTAATACAAATTATGATTGAACATATCAAGAACGGAACGAAATATGACGTATCAAAAGCAATACTCATATCTCATCCCACACTATTGCAGACTATTGCAGATAGAATAATATTAGTCCCAAACATATCCACAATCGAGACAAATCGAGTCTCACTGAGTCAGGTTGCCATCACTATCCACACCACAGTAATGTTTTGACAATTACCATTCCCACACAACTGCATACATCTGCAATGCAAAGGGAAAATTATTAGCCTTCACTAGCACCAGATGGGAATGAGCTGGCGACGAACGAGAGTGTAAGAAAACCCTACACCGTCATTTGGGTCATTACTCATTATTGTACTAACTTCATCATCACTCATGAGTCATGACTACTTCAAGTAATAAAGGTATCCAGTAACTATTCTTGCTTTCATTAACGCAAACAGCAAAAAAAGACCAATCTGAAGAATAGTGCCCCTATCGACTTATAATTCCATTCTATCAAATTGAAGAATCATTACAAGGACCAAAAGAACAAAAACCATAAAACAGAGGGATATGGTGGGTGGAACTTCATTTCCGGCTACAAAATGTAAAACCTGTCTTTGCTACTCACAGCACTATGGCCTTCTTACTTACTTCTTCACTTCCTCCCCATACGCTGGAGCCTTCTGCTCGAAAAATATTTTAAGTGTTGGAGTTACTGAGAAGGGGCTTGTCCCTCCTCCTACTACTCTGTGTCTCTAAGGCTCTCACTGGTCAGCCACAGCTTCTTTTGGACGATGAAGACAACCTCTTCACCATCCTGGTCTTGTTCAGTGCTGGAGGAGTCTACTGCTTCCCAGTGCAACGCCACCATATACTTCTTCACGTAATCTATCACCGATTGCCTGTCGCGTATGATAATGAAACCACTGGGCCTTATCACACGATCCATCTCCAACAGAAGATCTTCCACACTGCATCCCTTCTTCTCAATGTCAGAGAACACGGTCCAAGCATGAAGCAAATCGTATGTCCGAGGATATGTCGAGAAGGCTTCGCACCTGTCAAACGGACATGTTGGAAGATATTCAGTGGGCGGTATTTGTACAAATCACACGATCACTATGGACTAAATGTTTGTGATTCGATGCATTTGTAAATAAATGTTATCTCAATTGCATGCTATTTAATTTCAATGCTGTCAAATATATCTAAAGCGTCAAAGGAAACAAACGTAATTGTTCAATTGTATAAATGACACTCGCCAATACACCCAACCCGAAGACCTTATAATAAAGGAAATTAGAAGCGTAGTGAAAAAAGAGAATGCCCCCTGAAATTAAAGTCGATTGTTACGTACCAGCTGTGGATAGTGCCTATCAGCCCCCTGTCGTATACCACCTTCAATGTATTTGGTCCATCTTCTGGGACAACGTTCATAACCCATACGTCCTTGTTCTTAAGAAGTGCAGCAGCAAAAGACCCCAAGTTTGCTTTCATGTCCATCACATTCCTTATGGTATCTGACTGGATCTTTGGGCTCAAGATATTCAAGTAGTTATCCACCCTCTTCCTCCAGAGTTCCTACAAAACATTACTCATGTTTAATGATAGCTTGTTGTCATACTCAAGCCAATTAGTTTGAGGGGAAAGCAAACTGCAACATTTCTAAGATGGATGCTTCAGGTACATACCACGTCCTTTTCAAACATATCATTCGAATAGCCAAAATCAGCAAGTCTTGGCGGAGGGCTAGTCAATCTAGCTGGCCAAGGAGCTAGTCCGCTGCCCTTGACCCTGTGGTCGTCTGATAGATAATAATACAATCCCATGGTTAGCTTAATGCTACAGAAAAACTATGTTAAATATCTCAGCAAATGCACAAGGGAAGAGAGCATGGGTAGGAAAGGAACGCACGCTCAGAGTAAGGTGAAATGCAAGCTTCCATTTGCACGCCCCAAACTGCATCAGGGTCATCATCAGAACGACAGAGAGGGGGTTGGGTACCAGGTTCTCTTTGCATGTAACAATCATTTGTTAGAGGTTTCTGCCAAATAACCGTTTGGTTTCTCTTTGCAGCTATTCTCCAGCACATTCTTTCGACAAGGGCACTCATTTCTTTCCATATTCTTAGATCTTCTTCATCTTGTGCGTACGCCTCAGGTGATGAATATGCAAAATAACCTCCTGGTCTGAGTACCCGATCAAGCTCAAGAAGAAGAATACCATCCCTCTGAAGCCAATCTATTCTACAACGGGAACAATGGGAGAACTCGAAAGATCGGCTCGGATAAGGGAGCCGCTTGGTCCCAAGAACACCCAGATAGGCAGGAATACCTCTCTCTAGGGCGAACTGTATTTGATTTTGATGAACATCATTTGGGGCCAAGGACATCGTGATCATATCGGATGATAAAAGGTAACCCCCAAAACTGGCAACTCCGCAGCCAACATCCAGAACAGTTCTTACATTTCCATCATTATTCAGAACATTATTTGAGAAGTTTAACATCTGCCAAATTGAAAAACAGAAGTGTAAGTGTTAAAAGTATGAATGACGATCATCAGAAAACATGTGGAACAAAAAGAACATAAACAATCCAGAAATGCAGACCAATTGTGTAGGATACATTAAGCAAAATGTATTAGAATATTTTCTCAGGGTTTAAGGAATAAGCAAGAATCAGCAATCTTACATTTGCAATAGAAGCAATATACTTGTCAGCTCCATAGTGGAAATGAGTACCTCCCCCAGGAAATACTATCTTATCACCTTTTACAACCATCCAGTTCTGATCAGACTTTTCATGTGCAAGATGGGTATGAGGAATGTTCGCTTTCCACACTTCATCCCTACTCTTTGGCCACTTGATGGGGATCTGCAGCATTGCAAGGTATAATGAGTAATGATAAAGCTTTCATTTACTACATCTGAAGTTGGAAAGACATTCACAACAAAGTAAATATATCTAGAAACATTTAGACTTCAAGGCTTAAGCAGTTCTCACCTTGTACCCTGGTGGAGGAGGAATCAAGCAATTGAACCTCCTTTCAGCAGGAGGGCAATGACGCTCATAATGCTCCATTACAGACAAGTCCAACTTCAGTCTCATCTGATATATAAGATTCCTGTCTAAGCATGGAATCAGTTCTGAATGCCGGTCATCACAAACCTTCAAAAGCCAGCAAGTGTTATATGAGAGACATATGCTACAAGAAGTAAGATGCCAACAGCAAGAACTATAAATAAAAAGTAAATGATCTGAAGACAAAGCCAGCAAGAAAGTGCAAATGCCAAAACTTTAATTAGCAGTAGAAGCCCTTACCGGGAAGCTTTTCGGGACACTATCATCCTCTCCTTCTTCCAAGCCAAATCTCGTTCCATCCTCTTTGTCCGACTCATCATCCCCGCCAAGATAAGACGAGCCCAGTTTCCGCAAGGATTTGCTTCCATATTCTAGAGCAGATGCCCCACGGCCTTGAGAACCAAATACGGATCCGTAGTAGAAGTATATAAATCCAAGGAAGACAGCTACAACACAGACAGACGTTATCAAACGCTTCTTCTGTGCACCATCCGGTCTTCCTCTCATTGTTTTACCAACTTATTGAGATCTTCAAACTAGCTGACTCTGTTGCCTATTAGTTAGATCACTCAGATCATAATGCAGATCTTACAGGTCTGAAGCTTTTATGTTCAAATCAGTATCCCAATGAACTGGGGTAAACTTATATCTAGCAGACCCTGCAGCAAGACCTGTGATAAAGAAGAACCAAAAGAAACAGAATTGTAAACATTAAGGAAGCTGATCGCACTCAAAAGGAAAAAATCAAAGAAGCCAAGTGAGGGAAGAAAGAAACATTTGCAGACTTCTGTCAACTATAGAGCTCATAATAAACAAATGAAAGCTTCCAACTTAGCCGTCTAGCAGAACATTACTTAAATTAATAACATAAGTATGACGGCTAAGTATCAACACAAAAGTATAACTTGTACCCCAAGACTGAGATCCGATCTCTCGACACAAAACAAATGAAGCAATGTGCGGTCAATAAGCAATGAAGGCAGACTTACTGCGCACAAAACTTAAACTACCCAATTGGATACAGGAAAATTAACACAGAGACAGAGCAAGCAATTAATCAAACACTGATCCAGCCAATTCATGAATAAGAACACCAAAAAAATGGCAAACATGGAGTTCACAGGGGAATTGATTAAAACCCAGGGGTGGCCTGGCAATCAAGAACTTCACACACACGAAGAAAGGACAATGACATCTTTAATAGCCAATCAAAGACGAAGTAAAGCGTCTTTAGATCTGAACCAGAAGAAAGCTCATTAACCATACTCGCATTGACACCACCATCAATCCCAATTCCCACATCCTTAAATACGAAAGCGAATCCAACCCATGATTAGAACCAAACCCAGATGGGAATTTGTCAAATCAGATCCGCGACACATGAGTCTACCCCGGATTCCAATTAAATGAAGCAATAGGCGGCTAAAACAAGAAGGAAAGCTTAGAGCTTACTGGGAATTAAGGAATGGATCAGCAACGAGAAAACGCGTGGAGAGGAAGAGCAGCCCAGAGGAGATCTGGGTCAGGCGCTCTATTGTATGAGAGAGGGCGAGGGAGAGTGTGGGTGTGAGATTAGATCTCAGAGGTTGAGGATTGGGATTTTCTATTTGCGTGGGAGAGGCGAGAGGCGAGAGTGAGAGTGATATAAATCAACAGGATGGAAAGGGGAGGTGAGGGTCTAAGGGAAGAAGGTCCAGGTCGTTAACGTTTATTTCCGTGTCTGTCAACAACCCAAAAAAATAAAAAGATAGAGAAAAAAGAAGATATTCGGTGATTATTTTAACAATGGCGACGGAGTGTTAATAGGACTTAACTGTTGCTCGGGGGAGGAGGGAGGGTGACGTCCATTTCGTCGGTAGTCGGCTGAAATCTTCAGCTTCATATCCAATCCAAGTGGGTATAATTATCGGACCCTCTTCTGTCGGTGGGATTTCACTTTTCGTTAAACATATAATTCCTCGTTCTCACCCACAGTCTTTGTAGCTCACTAATCCCATCGCAAAAAGTCGTGATTAATTCGCTCCCTTTCAGTCTCCTTTTGCTGTCATGTTTTCTTTTCTTTTCTTTTCTTTCGCCAAATGGATGAGATGGAAATGATAGTCGATTATTAATTGAGGAATAGATTGTTGATTTAAAGAATAAGGTTGGCAAATGAAATTTGTAAGATGTTTTTTATATATAATTAAAAATTACCTTTGCAAATTAAGGTGAATTATAAATTTAAAGTTTTTGTATGGTAATGTGTATTTTTATAAGAACCGGATTAGACCTGGCAATCGGGTCGGGTTGGGTAATTCGGTTACGGGTCAGGTCATGTTTGGTTGGCTAATTTTGTGTCAAATATTGATCTAACCCATTCGGTTTCAGGTCGGTTACAGGTCATTTCGGGTTATGAGCGTTCTCAGAAACAATATCAAACATGCTTCATATTTTCTTAAAGAACACAAATTTTCACATGTGCATGACAATAGTTTACCTAACACATGTCAATTAACATATTCTCAAATCCTCCCACACTAATGAAATGAAATACAAATTGCGAAAATCGTCAAAAAATAATCACAAGAGTAATACAACTACAAGAAACACATAATATTTGATTATCCTTAAACTCCAAAAATGTCATTCAAATCCTTGTAATTTTTTTTAAACATCTCATCAATTTATGAGTGATTTTATCTTTTTGAGAGTGATATTTAAAATGGAACGGGTCTAACGGGTCGACCCGCTTACCCGCCCAATCTGACCCAAAAAATCACGGGTTATCGGGTTCGGGTCATTTGAATTTCGGGTTACAAAAATTTCTAATTTTCGAGCGGTTTCGGGTCGGGTTTTAATTTTTCAGTTCTAAACCGGATCAACAACTGAACCAGTGGAACTACCAAAGCATTTTTTATAATAAAGGTTCGGTTCATTTGCTTCTAAACTGCAACCTTTATCAAGGAAAACAAAATTTGGATCTTTATGACAAATATAGTAATTTTTTTGAATAAAAGTCTCTTTTGTAAAAAGAGCTCCGGAATTTTAGGAGCGGCAAAATACTAACATACCGTTTAGTATAAATGAATTCCATAAGTTTTGAGGAATTCATTTTGAAATGAAATATTTTTGTGTTTGGTATTAAAAAGAATTCATTTTCAATTCTAAATTTTGCATTCTACGGAATTGGAACTAGTTATGGCAATTTCGAGGAATTGAGATGAAATTTCCAAATAAATTCCACAAGTATTTACTAATTACAATAGAATTACATGATTATCCTCTTTTATTAACTAAATTACTTAAACATATGACATACCAAACACATGAATTCATTTGACAATGAATTCAACATGACGCATCATTTTATTTCTAAATATTTGAATATAACATACCAAACATAGGATTTCATTTGACAATGAATTCTACACGGTAATTCATTTTACAATGAAATGAATTCTCGATTCATTTGGTACCAAACAATCAGTAAAATATCGTTTACTTGTGGGATTTGAGTGATGGATTTGGCCACCAAATCTCAAGCATCAAGAACTTGGAACAAATCCATTGTTTGCTAAGACTAGCTCCAACCCTAGAGCTAAAAAGTCATTTACCCATTTTTATCTCTTTCTTGGTGCTCCAACCCACATAATTTTGGGAGGGAGCCAAATTTAGTTTCCAATTGGGTGGAAAAGCAAAATTTGGCCGCAGAAAATTGTGGACCACGATGGCGGTGGGTCCTCCTTTATTTTTTGTTTTTTTGTGGGATTTTCTCATTAGTTGATTGTGTTTGTTTTTCTTTTTGCTTTTTTTGTGGTATTTTGCTTACTTGTTTGAAAGAATATATGGAATGTTTTTATGTTTAATTGGTATTGTCTCATTGGTCTCAAAGTTAACGGTAACAAATCAATGACTAATTTTCTAAAACTTTTTTCGTCTCAGAATTAAAAAAATACATCGAAAATTTTGTTTTCAAATGTAATAACTAACTATAAAAAAATTAATGTGAAATATAAAAATTAGAGGCCAAATAAGAATGGTTTATTGAAATAAATTGGAAAAGGGGAAATGGGAAGCTAAATTTAGCTTTTTGTAAGGTTGGAGTGAAAATGGGGTTTGGAGAGCTAAAAAGTCATATTCGACTATTGGGGGAGCCAAATTTGACTTTATGGGTTGAAGTTCGTCTAAGGGACACAAAGTGGATCCCACGGATTTGTAAATCCCACATTTCATTTGGGATTTGATCATGAAAGGCAAAATTATGAGACAAATCCATCATAAAGATTAGTTAAATAAACAATGTACTCTTCCAAATCCATAATGCAACAAATCCATCATAAATCCAAAGGCTTTTAACACCCAAAACCTCATTTTCAAATCCAACAAGTAAACGAGCCCTAAGTGACGGCGAACGAGCTAGGGTTTACGCAGCTACCCATGCCGGCGGCGGGCTTGCCGCTGGTGGGGGAGACCCCTGATACCAACATGACCACAGAGACGATGGCGGGACAGCGACGGCCTCCGTCAGCGTCTTCGTCGCCAAATTCGAAGAATGACTGAGAGTCCCAACAGTCGAAGAAGCGAGCGAAGAAACCGTTGAGCTCGCTGGAGATGGAAGTCAGCGAGGATGAGATTCTGATGGAGCCGCTCATGGAGTACTACAAGGAAGTGATGGGCGGTTCATGTCAGCATTTTGGTTATTCGCTACCTGTGGGAGTGCACATCTTTGACACCCTGAGCTCACAATTTCGTTATTGGTTGTTGTACGATCTTATTGTGGTTCGATTCCCCGGTCTATTAATTCATAAGGGTTAGAGCGCCCCTCAACGCTCTGTTTCCTACCCAAAAAGAATATAGTAATTTTTGTGACGAATATAATGAAATACACTGGCGTGACATTTTTTTATGTTAACTTGCCAACTTGTGATTTATAATAGGGTCGTACAATCGATTACCAGTTAGCGGTTAACCGACCGGTTACAACCAAAACCGGTCGGTTATTTGCTAACCAAAAACAGAGACAACAGAAAATCGATCGGTATTCGGAGGGATGGCCGAGATGATTTTGGTATTGGAGGCAGCTCGGTTAACCGAAACCGAGATAACAGAAGCCTAAAGGCCTCTTCCGGTCGATAGAAGTGGGGTGGTTCGATTTAACCGATAACCAACCGGTTTTCAGTTATAATCGAACAGGCCGAACTCCGCCCCTAATTTACAACATTTTATTCTAATTTGTATATCAATCAATCTCATAAATGGAGGTTAATTTTAAAATCGCAACTCAAATATTATTTGGTCGAATATTGCACATTGAATTGGAGTATTGAACATGTAAAAGAGATGTAGAATTGTTAAATCAGAATTAATTTCAAGAACTACTAAGAAGCAATGATATCTTTGTGCATTGCACACTATAAGGGGTTTTGGTTATCAGTTCTCATAAATCGTCATGCCACACTATTCTTTCAATTATTTCCTTTTTTTGTCTCTCTCAAAATTGATACTAAAAGAGGTATAGGGAAATAACTAAACACATATATGTTACTGTTTGTCAATTTCTATGGATTTTTATGAAATTATCATATAAACAAAAAAATTATAATGATGAAATAGTTTTATTAATCAAGGAAAAAACGAAGAATAACTCCCTGCTAGAATTATGAAGTTTCATATTACTATTGTATCAACAGAGCATCATGATGGACGTGACCTCTATATCACCTCCCTCGTTTTCCAATGTTACAGACATTATATACAAAGGGAATAAATTTGTTTTTGAATCAGGTGATGCCTAGTTGGTCCTCTAGTGGGCATCGGTTTGGTTCACCCCAAACCAAACAAGAGCATACTGTTATGCTAAGTAGTCCCAGTAATGCAACTGATTTCGAACCAAATTATATTTTGGTTCGGTCTGGCTGAATCGCGATAGAATTTGATTTGGATCAGAAAACCCATCAAAACCTATCTGTCTCTCCAATCTATATATCCCTGCCACTGAACAATTACTAAACCCTTCTTCTCAGCCGCTCACACTAGTCTTCGTTGTTATTCTCCTCTTTTCACTCCGTCGTTGTTTCGCTTTCCTCAGAATCTCCATACATTCTTTGCATAATACATAAAATAAAGGCAAAATACACTTGTATAGCCAAAACTTTTGAGGTTTTGCCAATAATAGCCAATTTTGGAGAAATACCACTTATAGCCACTTTCGTCCAATTTTTTAACGGTGTCAACTAATATGCTGACTGGACAAACGGAAAAGTTGAGTTGGCGAGTTTCTCTATTTTGAATTCCACGGTGGATTAACTTTATAAGATTAAAATTAAAATTAAAGTGGAACCGAAAAGTATCCACTCTCCACCCACCGTGCATTTTCACTTTCCCCGTCTCTCTCTTCGCTTCTCTCTTTTCAGAGACGCATCCTAATATTCCGATCCAAACCACCACCGCCCCGATTCCCCCACCATGGCCACGACGCCGCTTCCCTCTTCGCTCTCGGGCTTGCCCAGCCACAATGCCCTCCTCTCCGACGAGAACTTCATCGTCACGGTCGCCAGACAGGCTATTCAATAAGATGGCGGCGAGCTCCTCAAGGATGCGTCGATCCAATCGTAGAAGCTGGAAGTAGGGAAGAAGAGGGAGAGGCGAATCAATCTTCCCCACCATCGGAGACTCAACCACAGCAGCAATATTCAACCCGCCACCATCCCCAATTCTCAGTTCCGCCGCCAGAGATTTCGAGCCCGGAGAATCAACAACCCAGATATGGTCTAGACTCTTACTTGGAAAAGCGAATCGGTACTATTTTCCAGCAATCGCTCCATTATTTTGACAGCAGCATTGAGGAATTCGATCCTGACACTTCCGGCGCTGGCGACGACGATTTGCTCGATTCAGGTGCGCAAAGTAAGGTTTTACCCGCCGCCGGTCGATGGGAGACTTAAGTGGTGAAAAATGAAAAGACGACGACGATTTCCTCAAATCAATCGCGAAGAAGAAGGCGGCGTTTGTGCAGGAACGAAAGAAGGCGGAGATTTTAGTCTTTTCCTTTAAGATTTTTTTTTAGATCTATCATCTATACCAGTTTTGTTCTGGGATTTCTGGGTTGCGAACTCCAAAGTAGAGGAGCGAGATGGTTGATGAACGATGATGATGCTGAAATTTATTTTTTGTCCTCACAGTGGGTTTTTACAAGTCAGGGATATGGTGGGTGTTGGTGTGATTAATTTTTGGAGAAGAAGAAGATGGATTTGGAGTGATGAATCTACCAGCAGCCCGATTCAGGGGTGAGGATTGTTTTTGGCAGGGGTGAAGAATCGACGGTGATGACGAGGCGTCTTCGACGTTTGATTTTGTTTTTGGCAGGGGTGAAGAATCGACGGTGATGACGAAGCAGAGGACGCCGGATTCTTGTCGCAAGAAGAAGGGAGGTTAAATGAGATTCAACATACAAAAAATATATATTTTTATTTTAAAATGTGACGTGGCGGCTATGTGTCGTCTAGGTGGCAGCCACATAAATTTAACGTTTATTTAACTGACGGAATTGTTAACGGTGTTAAAGTATTTGACGGAAATGGCTAAATTTGTCAAACAAGTTTTAAAAATGTGGCTATAAGTGGTATTTCTCCAAAATTGGCTATTATTGGCAAAACCTCGAAAGTTTTGGCTATACAAGTGTATTTTGCCTAAAATAAACCTACCTACATAACGAATGCAAAAGCTCATGTAATAGTACTCGTGCATTAAAATATTTAATGGATTTGTAAATTGTTTTCTTAAAAGGATATTCTTATTACCTTTTACGAAAGGGGGCCCGAGCTCGACTTATCACATTACCACAAATACCAACATACTTAAACATGATCTTATTACCCTGGAGAGAGTTCATAACCTCCTTAAAACATGTTATTACTTAGTTACTTACTTATAAACTTGATCAACTGAGCTAACTTGCTTAAATAGATGGTCCACACGATGGGAAGATATAAACTAGCATACTTAAAGAGTAATATGTTTCGTCTTCTTTTAAAACATAACTTTGTAAATGCAATGTGTCTTGTTGTGCTTAAGAAGTGAACATAATTCATAAACTTGAATATGAATATCTTAAATGCATAACACAAATATAAATAGCATATAAAAACATATCAATTAACTCAAATAATATGCATAATAGATATTTCATGAAATACTATCTAACCCCATTAACCACACACCTTACTTGCTCAAGTCGTCCAACTTGAATGAACTAAAGTCATACTTCATCGCATTGTATGGTCTACATTTGTTCGTGAGGATGCAATATCGATAAAGTTGACCTTTAAATCTTTTTCTCCTTGAATTAATTCCCTCATTACTTTGCTTAACAACTTTCACCACTCCCATTAGGTCGTCAAAAGCACATTCCATAGTTAGTAACTATGTTAGCCATCCACTTAAACTTGTTTAAGTCATTTAACCAAACTCTAATTCCTTTCGTGGCAATTAAGAATAGTATTGGCCCACCATAATCAGGAAAGTCCAATCTTATGCCAAAACAAAGAAGGAAACCTGATCTTTGAATTAAAAACCTACTCCCATTACTGTCCTGCAATTGAAGCATTTCCCACTCTTCTCCAACCCTAAATACCTACTCCCATTACTGTCCTGCAATTGAAGCATTTCCCACTCTTCTCCAACCCTAAATTGCACTTCTCTTCTTGCATCCATCCTGTTAGAGAGTGGTATAAGATCCAGCATAACCTTCTCCCAACAACTCGAGTTATTGGGACCAACTGGTTTATGTCATGGTATCAGAGTCTAGAACCGAAAGGTCATGTGTTCGAATCTCCACGACCCCCAATATTAACCGTTGTCTTTCAAGCACATGGTATGGTGGGCCTGTGCAAACTTCAAGCCCGTGAGTTGGCTTTCGTTTGAGGGGGCGTGTTAGAGAGTGGTATAAGATCCAGCATAACCTTCTCCCAACAACTCGAGTTATTGGGACCAACTGGTTTATGTCACATCCGACTGTTTCCTCAAGCGGCGGGTCTTCCTTCAATCCGGCTGTGGAGATGACTGACAATTGCAGTTTGGATCGGGATGTGCTGCTAAGTTCACTCCTTTTTCCTTTTGCCGCCAGAAAACGACGTTCAATCTATCCAGAGGGAAACCTTCCTCCTCCTCCCTTGAATCAGCTCATCAAATTGGGAGATGGTCCCCTCATCAAGATTATGATACGCCTCCCAACCCCTAGATCCTCCTGCCTCTCCAAAGCCGTCTGCAAGCCGTGGAGAACCCTCATCTACGATCCCAGCTTCGATCGTTGCTTTATTTCCCATCACCAGACCAGGTGCGAACCAGCATTTCTGTTCCTTACCGCACGTGACCCCAATTCGATCATCCTCAGATTTATCCCCGTGCGTGACAAAGCTCGATGGGGATTCAGAGTCATGGACTGTTTCAAAGACTTGCTTTTATGCGAATTTCTCGAACATGATAGAACCGAATTGCGGAGAACCTACGTGTTCTGCAATCTGTTTACAAAGCAGTGGATTGCCCTTCCTTTAGCGCCTGAAAGGTCAAATTCGGGGTATAACCTTTCGCAGCATTAGTCAGTCAGTCCTGTAGTAAATGTAGTCTTGTGAAGCAGCTAGGCGAAGAATCAGAACCTGCAGCAATTTATTTCGAGTATGTTTTCCTCATGGTGCGTAATCTTCAAATTTGCGGCTCTACAGTACTACAAGTGTTTTTTCCGAGTCTGGGAATGATAGCATGACAAGGACAATGACCAATGTAGTCTTGTGGAACGGGGAGTTGTTTTGGTTGAATTTCGAATTCAGTTTGTTCCGCAAAATCCTGTTGCGTGTAACCCTTTCCGCCTTGATATACCTCTCAAGCGTATGATTGTATCTCATGCATTGTGGTGTGCAATGGGACAGGGAGGTGCCACTCTCGCGGTCTCGCAAGGTGCTCTGCACATAGTTGTATTCGAAGTTGAAGGTCTACGTCGCGGTTCGAGAAATGCCTTGAGTGTTTGGAGACTGGAAGAAGATGATGAGCATTGGACCGGACAGTATTGGCGCATACTATATGAAATGGTGTTGAGACCATTGGGTAAGTGTGTACTTTTTAACTGTTGTATGCTTTGTCTACGGATCCTCTTGATGGTCGTATCTACTCCTGCAATTTGAGGTCCGGGACGGGAGAGCTATAGATGTTTTCTACAGTATTGCCATTTTGTTATGAACCTGATTGGATGGCGTTCCAGCCCATAGTCACTTGTTGGCCTGCACCAATTCTACTCGCTGAATTGGATGGTTGTATCTACTCGCCGCTTGAGAGGTATGTATGATGGAAGCTATCGTTGTTGGGTCCAGAACACTACTGCAACAACACTTCCCTCAACCACTGGTAATTAAAGTTTGGAGGAAGCGACGAGATTGACGCGTTATCGAGTCTAGAGTAGAAAGCAGCGATGGTATACTGTTCTTGTTTGACAAGATTGATGAGGCGGCGCAACTTCTGCTATAGTTCGTACTGGTTTTGATTTCATTATCATTAACTTTGTACTAGAACGGAAGCCCGCGCTACATAGCGGGAGGTGAATTTAGTAATTTAGAACTATAGTTTGTGAGGAGGCAGAACGACAACGCAATTATTGAGAGCCTAAATTAGAACAATGTGGGAAGCTATTACAAAAAAAGAACAATGTGGAAAACAAGGATTCAAAACTGCGCAAAGGCTTTGATGTTTTGTAACATCCCGTTCCGGCAAAACCCATATTTCGTTCGCTAGAAAATTTCACGATTTAAAATCGAGCATTTCGACACTATTTCGGCGAAAATCGAATTATCGATCAATCGGATAAGTATACGTATTAATTATATATATATATATATATTTAATTACACTAAGCGGCTGAACACTTTAGTATATATATATATATATATATATATATATATATATATATGTAAAAGCCATCCATTTCCATCTTCTTCCTTCTCGTAAAAAAAAGAACCGAGAGATACTCTGAGAAACAAGGCGCGCAGGGGAGAAAACAGGAAATTCTCCGAGCTCGATTCTTGAGCTTTAGCAATCCAAAAATCCCGTAAGTAATGCCTAATTCATCCATACATCGTGATTTATCGATTTAGAGTTTTAAAACGAGTTTTTGGTTCAGGAATTTCTTGAATTCCCGATAAGCCAAATTTGGGTTTCGGAGTATCCGGAAGCCGGATTGAGCCCAAATTTCATATACGAGCTTCCTGCAGCGAGGTAATCAATCCTCTAGTTATAATCCCTGAATTTCGGCTATTATTTAGATCGGAGCCGGGATCGCTGAATTTAGCTCCGGCCAGGGTTTGATGTGTTTTTATCAAGAATTTGACCCAGAGCCTAGAACTAATATCGACGGGGATACTTCAGGGGATTTTAGGACAGTCTCGGATTTTAATTCGGGGTTCGTTCGTGAAATAGATGTTTTAGTACGGGAGGCTAGAACCGGTGTTTGAACGACCAAAACTGGTGAGGGATTAGCACGGCATACCGGGTTTGTCGTATCACGATAATTATATTGATGCTTAGAATTGATCTAGGTGAACTAGAATGGCATGATTAGGGGTGTATGAACTTTTGTGCTATATGTTGAACCCTGGATTGCTGTATAATATTATTGACTTGCCATAATCGATATGAATCTTGTTTATGTGGATGATTGCATACATGTTGCCATTTGTGGCTTAACTGTTGATATGACTTCATGGTTGTTCGATAAGGGGTTTTGACATGGTGTGATATTATGGTTGTATTTGGATCCATAAGTGGGGGAATAAACTTCCCCGGGGTGATATTATGATGTTTAAGGAGGATGACTTGCACGAGGGTTTATCCCAAGGAAGTGCAATTATACGACTCCTGATTTACCTATGTTGAGCCAATTATGGCCAGGTCAAGTACATGTGCAAGTAATGAATTATGATTAAGCAAGATGAGATATGAATCATGTATAAGGATACCAAATATGAGTGTTGTGGTCTCACGGTCAACTACATTGTAATTAGGGCTCCCTGTGCTATTACTCTATTATGATATGTATGATAGTCACACCTCTCATGTGGTGGTGACTGAAGAATTCTTACGAGATATGACCACACCCAGAGTGGTGTCGGGGTATGACTACACCCATAGTGGTGTGGGGTATGTGTGACCACATTCGACGGGATGTTGGGGTATGTATGACTACATCTGACGGGATGTGGGGTATGTTTCCCGGGAGAGTTATTAGCATGGGAGTAGCCAGGCGCCTATGAGTAAAACATGATAAGATGCATATGCATAAGTCAAGGTGGTTGAGTCTTTTGCCTATTGGGATGTTGGAGGGCTGAGATCTGATCCCAGTGCTTTGGCTTGTTTGTTAGATGTATGGTAGGGGTATGCTCTGTTATGAACTCACGATGCTATGATTATCTCACTCAGCTATGAGCTGACCCTCTATATCCTTTTTCTCTGCTTATGCCATGTGTAAGCAGATCATCAGCAGCAGCAGTAGATAGGTGTATAGGTGGGAGCTGAGCAAGAGTTGAAGGGAAGATGAGGTATGGTCTTCTCAACTATTCTGTGCTTGGACTACTACTCGGGATTTTGGCCAGTGATCCACACCTTTTTGTAAAAATGTTTTGAGAACATTTTCATGTGCATACTAGCTTCGAATGTAGTGTGAGATATCCACAGGTGTGGAAAGTTGATGATATGTGTATATTTTTGTAATTGTGTAAGTTATGACGATTATGGCTTGTATTAGTATGGTATGCAGTTGTGTAGTATGAAACTGTGACTATGGCTATGAAAAGCCAATGCATATGGTTGTGAGTATATATGTTTGTGATGAATTATTTTGCAGGATAAGTTGCAAGAACTGTTAGCCCATTACGCGAGTAATTCATGTCGAAATTTTATTTGGGTAAATTTTGATAATTAATGTAATGCCCGAGATTAATTCCGCTGCAATTGTTTGAACAATATGATTAGGCAAAACGTATAGGGTAGGGTGTTACAGTTTGGTATCAGAGCCCGGTTCCCTCTTTTTGCTGTTATGGCGTACTATACCCTAGGGGAGGTTAAACACTCCTTAAGGAGGGGAGTACCCCATAATGACTTAAACTGGGAATTGAGTTTTATATGATTATGTGTATTGGTATATTGGATGAAATTACCAGCATCATGGTTTTCAAAATTGAGTTTTGAACTTATTTGTTTTCAAGTAATTATTTTGGAAATTTTTTGTTTTAACCTAGTGAGAGATTTGGTGAAGAATGAATTTTGTGTGGATCAATTTAAGGCCAATATTTCCTTGTAGCTCGCACGGAAGTTGTCATAATGTTCCTACTGACCAGTCGAGAGGAGTGGGGGCGGTTGATGCAAGACCGCCAGTATTAGATTATGCAAAGATGAAGAGTTTGGGTGGTAGGGACTTTAAAGGAGATGTGAGTCTGGATGCTGTGGTAGAGTGGTTGAGGGAGATGGAAGATGTGTTTGAGTATCTTTATGCGACCCCAGAGGAAAAAGTACAATATGTTGTTTTTCTCCTAAAGGGGTACGCGAGGAGCTGGTGGTCCTCAGTCGCTAGAGTTAATGGTGAACGAGTTCAGTTCACCTGGGAGGAGTTCCTGAAGGCCTTTAAGACAGAGTTTCTTCCCGAAGCTTTTATAAGGGCAAAGAGTAATGAATTCGCCAACCTTAAGCAGGAGAACATGACAGTTACTGAGTACACCATCAAGTTTGTTCGACTACTCTACTTTGAAGATGGGTTGGCGGATACTGAGCATAAGAAGAAGATGAGATACTTGCATGGTCTGCGCATAGGATTGAAAGAAAAGGTCCACAGGGTTGATGAAGAGAGTATGGCCACAATCAAGGAGGCAACACTTAAGTATGAAGCCTATGAAGTTGAGAGCCGAGAGGAACACAAGGCCAAAGAAGAGGAGAAGAAGAGGAAGTTTGGAGTAAATTATGTTGGACCTCGTTACCCACCCAGGAGAGGTCCTAGCAGTTTTGGGAGAACACAGAGTCAATCTATGTCGGGAACATCATACAGGGCACCAATTTCCTCAGCCACACAATTTCCATTTTGTCAAGTTTGTCAGAAGAGGCATCTTGGAGAGTGTAGGAGATTTTCTGGTGTATGCTTTCACTGTGGCCAACCTGGGCACATCATGAGGGATTGCCCGCATTCGAGAGAAGTAAGAGCTACACAATCCGAGCCTTCAATGCAATTTAGTAGAGCCCCATTCAGGGGTGGTTACCAGGGAGGCCGTAGTGGATTTCAGAGTGGTCGTGGTGGTTCACAGGGTGGTAGAGGTGGTGGTCGAAATCAGCCATCAGGAAGTGGTACGCAGGGTACCAGAGCACAAGGAGCACCGAGGGTTTATGCAATGACTCGACGTGAGGCAGAAGTGGCACCAGAAGTTGTGACTGGTATGCTCTCTATCCTTGGCAAGCAATTATATGCTTTGATCGATACTGGTTCCTCTCACTCATTCATGTCATATACATTTGCACATATGCTACGCTTAGTTCCAGATAAGCTAGGTTATACCTTATGTGTTAAAACACCTGTGGGAGATACCTTGAAGGTAAACTCAGTTATTAGAAGTTCCTTCATTTGTGTGGAAGGAGCTTTCCTAGCAGCAGATTTAATTCTGCTACCTTTTGATGAATTTGATGTCATCCTTGGAATGGACTTTCTGGCAACACATGGAGCTGTTGTGGATTGTCAAAAGAAAGAAGTGTTATTCAGCACACCAGATAAAGGTCCTGTTGTATTCCGAGGCATTAAGAAAAAGGAGACTCATGGTTTTCTTTCTGCCTTGGAAGCTTTTCGATTAGTGAAGGAAGGTTGTGAAGCCTTTCTTGCTCAAGTTACTGTAGTAAATGATAAGAAGGTTGAGGATGTAGAGGTGGTAAGGGAGTTTCCTGATGTATTCCCCGAAGAACTTCCCGGCCTTCCACCAGAAAGGGAAGTAGAGTTTGATATTGAATTGGTACCTGGCACAACACCAATTTCAATGGCGCCATATAGAATGGCACCAATTGAGCTGAAGGAGCTTAAAGAACAATTGCAAGAATTGTTAGACAAGGGGTTTATTCGACCTAGCATCTCACCTTGGGGTGCACCGGTTTTGTTTGTCAAGAAGAAAGATGGCTCCATGAGAATGTGCATTGACTACCGGAGGTTGAATAAGGCGACAGTGAAGAATCGTTATCCCCTTCCAAGAATAGATGATTTGTTTGATCAATTGGAGGGTGCATCTGTCTTTTCTAAGATTGATTTGAGGTCTGGATACCATCAACTGAAAGTGGCAGATGGAGGAACCTCAAAGACAGCTTTTAGAACAAGATATGGGCATTATGAGTTCCTGGTAATGCCTTTTGGACTCACTAATGCACCAGCGGTATTTATGGCTCTTATGAACAGAGTTTTCCATGAATATCTTGATAAGTTTGTGATTGTGTTCATAGATGATATTCTCATCTATTCTAAAAGCGAGGAGGAGCACAAAACTCACCTTAGAATTGTGTTGCAAATTCTAAGGGAGAAACAGTTATATGCAAAATTCTCAAAATGTGAGTTTTGGCTGAAAGAGGTAATATTTCTGGGACATGTAATTTCTGGGAGAGGTGTCGAGGTGGATCCGAAAAAGGTGGAAGCAGTGGTGAG